GAAAATTATTTAACTTGAATTCTTCGTATTGGCTTTGGATTGGTTTAAAAATTAACCCAAACCAACCCACACGGACCCCTTCATAGGTCATAAATATTTAGTTATTATAGCGATATATAGATGTTAATGTTATGGTATCTCGAATTTAAGGTTGAATGCATGTAATTTCTTAATTTGCAATAATCTCATACTCGGTCAAGTACGTGGAAGCTAGTTAGGTAACTTGAAGGGCTTACTAATTGAGCTTCCTGCATATATTTTGAAGGTTGGTTGTACATGTGAAGCAACTACTACACCTCTCGTACATACAAGCTCGTTGTCGAGGAGGATTTAAGTAATATCCAAGCTCGGGCATTGGAATTCATGGCGACTATTATTCAGTTTCTTGTCAAAATCTGTTACTAGCGACAATGTATTCCCTTTAGGCTCAAGGTCCCCTCAACGTTGTGTAATCTGCCTTGTCGTGCTCGACAAGAGACTTCAAGGCTCGATAGTGATGTTACGTAGTAATATATCTCGGACTATCATGTGAAGTAGAAGTGATGGAAGAAAGTTCATGAGCGTATTTTAGGCGTTACCACTAGTATTTTTACTAATATGTGAAATAAAAGTGATAGAAGGAGGTATATATTATTCAAAACTTAAACTAAGAAAGATTTATGTAATTTTCTAAAAGGAGTTGGTGTTTTTGAAATTGTCAGAAATCTCGTGAGACGTCTATGTAATTTTTCCTTTTAAATTTAAAGTTCTAAAACTAAACTTTGTTGCATCCAAATTCCAAAGTTTCACTTATCTACTAACTTTTAAGCGAGTCTAAGGAATAAACACCGACATGCTCGACAAGACCAGACAATATAAATGGTAATGTAAACAAAAAGAAGAAGAATAAAAATCCAAATCTAATTATTGTATAATATTGCTCACTAGCTCGTATATTATATAGAACAAACTCATATTCTATAGATAGAGAATCATTGATTGTCGTAGATTAAAGAAATAATGTGATAGGCTTTTAGATACCTGGAACCAAGACATCGGATTTGGGGGAACACAAATTTTCCCAAGAAGCACAGTGCAATTTTCCACCTATATCTCCTTTCACCCGCCAGAAATTGGACATGAGAGATTTTAACT